GTTGGTGGTCCTGCAGCAACATTTTTCATTTTGAAGGTGCGAAGTGCATACCAAATAATGGGACCACTCTGGACAGGCTATTCAGGGTTGATTGTGCCACCGCAAAATCGTCGAAAAGCAAGATGATATCGTACGCATAATCTAGATCAACTACCCTTTCACCAGGCAGCACTTCAACGCTTACATCGTTCTATTCCGTCAGGGAACACTCCATGATAGAATCCACGATGAAATTGAACAAAGCGGGGAGGTCGGACAACCCTGACGAACGCCACTTGTGGTCGAAAAGCTATCCGATAGGGCACCGTAGACCCTGACGCGGCCTCTAGTGTTCGAGTATAAAGCACGAAGGATGTTCACATATTTCGTGGAAACACCTTTTCGCGCAAGTAATTCGAACAGAATCGATCGACCGAATCGAACGCACTCTTGAAATCGAGGAACACAATTATTGTCGGTCTGCGGTATGCGTGGTGCTGCTCTAGCACCTGCCGCAAAGTGAGTATATGGTCTATACAACCACGTCCTGGGCGAAACCTGGCCTGCTCTTCCCTAATACGAGATTCCCGTTCTGCAGTGAGGCGACGAACGATAATCGAGTGCAGTAATTTTGTCACAACTGGCGTTAGGCTAATACCCCTGTGGTTCGCACAGTCTGTGCGAACCTGTGTGTGTGTGTGTGTATGTAGTGTGTGTGTGTATATTGCCCCTATAATCGATTCGCTCCAATTTGCCGGCACACTCTTCTTTCCAGATACGTTCGAATAGGGAGTTCAGTGCCCTGCAGAGCACTTCACCTCCATCCTTAAATAGTGCAGGTGGGAGGGAATCCGGGCCGGCGGCACGAAAACGATTGAGGGCTGTCATTGCGTTTCGGACTTCGGCCTCCGACGAAGGCTCTAAGCTAACCGTCCATGGCACGTCCTGCATCACCTGAGTCGGAAGAGATCCGGGTGCAGGGGACTTGCTGAACTGATCTTGAAAGTGCTCCGCCCAACGAGCTATACGGCGCTCCTTATTTTGTATCTGCGCACCCGCGCTGTCTCTGATTGTGTCACTGACGCCTGGTTTTCTGGGACCAGTGGTGCGGATAAGCTGGAAGAGCTTGCGGTAATTGCCTACTGTTCCTGCCTCCTCCATTTCTTGAGCCATACTGGTCCACCAGGCTTTTTTGTTAGCACGTAGGCTCTGCTTTAGTTCACGCCTAATAGCCCGTCTGGTCACATTGTGTTCAGAACCAGCCGGGAGGAGTCTTCTAGCTTCCAACAGGTTCACTGACCTCTCGGATATCCAGTGACTGGTGCGGTGACGACTGGTAATGCCACAAGCAGATGCTCCTGCGTCGTGCATGGCGGCCGAGATCTTATTCCGCTGAAGTTCAGTATCATTAGGACAAGACAGCGAGAGTTCGGTATGCAGTGCTTCTTGAAAGGCTTGCCTGACCAAGGGCTGGGTCAATTTCTCCGTTGCTAATCGGACGAGACGCTTTGTGCACCTTCCGGTAAATTCATGGAGAAACGACAGTGCACCAAGGCATGATCAGAGTCGACACAGCTATTCCAGTACGAGCGGCAATCCAGCATGGGACTGGGCTACCTGTAACTTATGGCTATGTGATCAATTTGGGTCCATCGCTGGCCAGCTCCAGGAGGACGCCAAGTGGCACTTCGGCGCCCACTGTGTCTAAAAACAGTGCTACGAAGAAACAAGTGGTGCTCCGTACACAGTTGCAGCAGACGCTCACCGTTGTCAGTCCGTTCGGAGTTAAGCCCACAATTACCACTCAGCTGAGCTGAAGAACGCGGACGCCCTAGTTGTGCGTTCATATTCCCTGCAAGTACTATAGTATCTGAACCAGCAGCATTGCGTGGTAGGGCGTTCAGTTCGTGATAGAAAGTGTCCTTGACTGCATTAGTACTGCAGTCGGTGGGGGCATAAATGGAAATCACAAACAAACAGCATTTTGTTTTACTTCGCGAATTCACCTTAACTGATGTCGTCAAACTGGCTGCACATAAACGGCTGTTCACCGGAATCCAATCAACCAACAATGACTCAGCCTTGTAGCTGAGAATGATACCTACCCCAGCTTGACCCGTGAGTGCCGCATCGGCGTCTCCGGATGCGTGCAACCAATAGCGAGAGGATAAGCCGAGTGCAATGAATTCAATAACCCCGTTAGGGTCATTAATCCTAGTTTCGGACACACAACACACATCAACACCCAGTGCGTCTAAGGTGCGTGCGAGTGCAGCTTGCTGATCTGTTTGTCTTAGAGTGCGAACGTTGAATGTCGCCATGGAAACGGGACAGCATGGCCTTATAAGGGACTTCTGCCGATGGGTGCTGTGGGATGGTGGCTGCAGATGGTTCTACTCCAGTAGCACTTCGGTTGCTGTCAATTAAGCTGGGAATTATAGAAGGAAGGTTAGTAATGGGGGTCGGGATGGGAGTAAGAGAAAAAGGTGGAAAAGAAAGGAGGCGCCAGCAGTAGCATGTTTTCGCTTATCTGCCCAGCTGTATGCAGCAGATAAGGCGACCCTTGATAATCTGCGTGACGGCCGATGCAGGATGAAGTTTATGTTTGAAGAAAATGTCATGGTTGTATGTGGGCTGAGATACTGCCAGGGCGCCCGGACCTAGACAGAAGGACGATTACGGTCCTCATCCAAAGCCTTCGGCTCAAAAGCCTGTCCGCAAGGCAGCGGGGTGGCAGTGATTTAGTTTTACAGAAATGGACACCATTTCACTTCAAACCCCCAACCTGGAGGACCAGGTGACTGAGTTTGTCTGACCTCTCACCGTTGACAAACTTGGTAGGAGTAGCTCTCAAGATGCTTGGAAGCATCACCCAGTATAGCTCAGTGTGTCAGTGAGGTACACAAACCGTCGCTCCACGTTAAGATCCAGTCTCGTTGCGACAGCAATATATGCTTGGCGGTATCCGGATTTGCCTGTCACTGTGGCCTTCACGAGGACAGCCACAGGACGCATGCGCCTACAGAGGGACCATGGGTGGCTTGCGCGGCACCCCCCACAGCTCCATCCACACACCCCGTATCTAATGTAAACCCGAAGGAGTAAGACTGCGAGGGATGCGGATGGTAGCCATGTTTCATCAACGGAGCCGGCCCACACTTCTTGACAGGCAGATACCAGCCCGCCGTATTTGGGAATCAGTCACACACAAGGCGATGGCTGGACCGTTGTCCGTTCCACATTGAGTGCATGGAACCACTCTTCGAACCTAGCACGACCACAAGGACCGTGCACCCCGCCCCCTCCAGCAACGATCTACTGTCTCCTAGAGCCAAGATAGACGAAGTGGTGGATAATAGGCAGGTAGGCACTCTGTCAGCCTGCACCTGAAGCGCAACTACACCGGAGATATCAAGCAACAGCCAATCTCAGAAAATGAAATAATAAATAAAACAGGTCAAAAACTCCATAAGGATATATCTCTAACACATGATATAAATGGATTATCAACAGCCGCGATAAATTGAAGATGGCCGATAAAGCGATAAAAAAACATTGGCATAATGGAGCAAACAAAGGAAATTAAACCCTGTCGTTTAAGCGACATTTGCAATCTAATAGATTATTTAGGCAATTTAAATGAAGTAAGAAAATATGCATTAATACAAGATAGCGGACATACGCAAGCACGCAGTTAGTAATTCGAACGCAGCGTACCTACCAACGCTGCGTCGGTTTTGCTTACGTACCCAGCAAGGGCTTTCTGTCGCACCTCAGTAATTGCCTTCGTGATGGGATTGCGCCATGCACGCCGATCAACCGCCTTCGATTCGTTATAGGCTCACTTAGATTTACACTAAAAAGCTATTTAAAATATAACTAATATAATACTAAATACCATTGTATGCACATGGCGTTAGATCGTTGTTGGAAGAGGGAACATGCTGTATATATATATATATATATATATATATATATATATATATATATATATATATATATATATATATATATATATATATATATATATATAAGTTAGATCTCGATCGCCGCAACAGATTCCTGACACTGACGCTGAACAAACTTTGCCAGAGAGCACTCCATCCATCCAACCGATGTGTGGCTCTAATGCTCCCTCTCTTCCTAAATCCCCATCTGTCACAAATGCAGATACCCAGAGGCGTACACGTTTTGGACGTGCAGCTATTCTTCCTTCTGAACTAGCTACTCACGTCAGGTAGCACGTATCCCACCTTCATCTTCCTGACTCACGCTCTGTGAAATGTTTTTTAGCGTTATTAAACTTCCGTATTTACACTTGTAATTTTCTGTTTCATCTTCCACTATTTTGTTTGTTTTACTATTTTGTTTGTTTTAATTGCTTTGCTTGTTTGTTTTTATTTGTTTGTTTTAATTGTCTGAATCGGTACAAATTACTTCGGATTTCCTTCCTCGTTTTCGCTTCGGCTTGATGCACTTGCTTTTGTCGTCATTATTCAGCGCTGTTGCTCGATGTGTTTTGGCGGAATCGTTGATAATTCGGACCGCGTTTATTATCGGAGCATATAACCAGCTTCGGACACTTGGAATACCTAGAACAACTAATCGAACTACGGATTGACTCTTCCTGTAGCTTACTTAGCTTTTTTGTGTAATCTTCCACTACAACTTAAAGGCTTTGAGATCGGATTTAGACTCTGCGGAAGCGGTTCTGCACTGACTGATGCAGGCTATTGCATGTTGGATCCTATTAATGGCATTTGTGATGTAGAACTAATCGATCGACCATTGGGGCGAGAATATTCGAGCGAATGTTAAACTCCTGAAGCGATTATAAACGAACAGTTAAGAGAGTAACTTCAGCAACCGATTTCCACTTCTGTTACCCATCCCTCACAAATTTATTTTTGGATATGCATTTGACTTTCCGGGTTACCACCTATTTTCCTAGTTTCTCATCTTCCATTTTTTTCTAAGAAATATGATAAATTAAAGTAACCTAATTACTCGACTGCTTTATAGTTGCAGCTGTTCCGTGATACTCCCCTGCTCGCTATACCGAATTTTACTTGATCAATGGGGGTGTGTTGTGTTTTTATTACTTTGATAGACAGTCCGAGATTCCTGTCGTTGAAAGCGCCAATGTTTGGGGATTGATTGGTCTCAAAAAAGGTGAAAAACGAAAATCACACAAGGCACTTAGCAATTTGCGCCGCGGTTCGAAGCCCATAGAAAGCCTTGATGAAATCCGTGATGGAAAGGTGTCCCGTAGAGTTGCCTTCAGAGCGGTAAAACGGCAACTCACTTTGTGGAAAGGTCCAGTTCACAAAAACAGGCTGGCCGATCAGTTGATCTTCCCTCTGAATGATACCACGATTAAAGTGGTGGGGTCAGCAGAGGCTCGGAAATTGCTCGATGATATTCAATTTGTGAAGGACAAAAAGCAGCCGGACACTTTTCAGCACAAATTATACAAAAACCTCTATTTAGACACTCACACAAAGTTGGTCTTCAAGTTTCGTTCAGTGTCCGTTTTTAGTTTTAACTGTGACTCAACCGCACAATGCGAAAGAAAAATTCGCTCAAATTTACTGGAAACTATATCTGCTCGTCGAAAAGAGCGTTTCCTGCATGCAATGGTTGCAGCGAAGAACAAACGAAGAAACAAAATTAAGAGCAAGAGTTTTCATAAGCATCAAAACCGGAGACTGTTGAAACAATACGAGAAAGAAATGGAGCAGTTGCGGCATGATGACCCACGTGCCTTTGCGGACCATCTTCTTAAAGCTAATTTGGATCGCGCTAAGGAGAGGGCTAGTTTGCGTCATCGCGGTGGTAGCAAGTTTGCTAAAATGCAGAAACTGCGCGCTAAATATGACACTGATGTGAGTTCCTTATTACTGGTCTCGAACTTTCTAAGGCACGAGTTGCTGTCACTGAGATGTATGAGAAGTCGGCAGAGCTAACGAAACGCATTCACTCTGACGATTCTTCGGAAAGCGAATATTCTGATGTCGACGTCTCCTCGGAATCCGACTCGGATTCAATGGAAACCGCTTCATTCAACCAAACATCCGGAGATAGTGGTGATGAGAACCGTTCGGATTCCCTTTTTTGGTGGCGCAAGGTGAGCGCCGTCATTTTTTCACCTAACTACTTCGAAGTTTTGTCTCCAGGTGTTAACACTCCTCATCCGCTGACACTTCAGATGCTACTAAGCTTAATACTATAAGTTGCATTTACTATTAATCATTTTCATAGTGTATGTTTTATGACTAGGTAGAGTGTGCAACTTGTAGCTGGTTTTTCAATCAACCTCCATCTTCGGTTAGCTCAGTGCTGGCCGCCGAGTTTCCATAAAATGGTCGTAACATAAGCTAACCTACAATTGTTCCGCTTTTGTTCGCATTTTTACCCATAACAATCAAATGATTCTTTCTTTTGTCCCTAAACCACCAGCCCCCCAAAAGTACGGAACCTTTAAAAACACGGTCGAAAAAACCATTGGTGGGGACCATTTTGTCGACGCTTGCTGCTGATACCATCTTGGATCAATTCAGCGAGGTCAGAGACCACAGAGCAGGCCAATCTTTGCAATCAGAGTCAGAGACAGGCACACTAGACCCCAATTCAGATGCGTTCTTCAAAACATTAGCAGAGACATGCTCATCGGACCCCAGTTTACCTGGTCAGTTTGCAAAGGAAAAGGAGCAAATCGTAGACGAAGAAACTCCGAAAGATATCGACGTCTTTGTACCTGGTTGGAACTCTTGGACCGGACCGGGACTTGATGCAAAAGATGAGCAACGGCGGAAAGAAAAATTGGTCACTGCTCCTAAAATTAAACGCGAAGATAGCGAAAAACCGCATTTACTAATTAGGAGACGACTAAACGGTGAATTCAAGCAACATCTGGTAGGTCATATATGTGTGATTTTGTACAGTTCCTATCATGATGGCAACCGTTTGATTATTGATATCGTGCTACTTATTCCACAGCGAAATAGCAACACTGTTGCCTTGTTTGCTACTTGCAGTGACCGGTGGCCGAGTGGTCTGCACGCCTGGTTTGCAACCATCAGATCACCGGTTCGAATCTGCTTAGAGCTGGGCATCCTCCCGGTATAGTTAGCCTACGCGCGACTGGTGGTTGTCGTGTGGCAGCGAAGCGCGGTTACGGCGTACAGCTGGTGATATTTTTACTCGCAGCAGTAGAGGCAAATGAATCACTTATCTACTGACTTTTCGTTTACTTTTACTTCATTGTCTGGTAATCTTTTCATGATTTCTTCCGCAGCTCTCAGCCATGGAATCGGTGGCTACAAATATCGTTGATATACCGCTTTTTCAATTACGAGCAAGATCGTACTCATTCCGAAGTAATATTTCGAATGGCTCTGCCAAACAAAATGATATTTATAGTACGATGGCCTAACATATTTCCGCTTTGCATTCGCACAGTTGTTTACCGAATTGAAACATTATGGTGGGGATTTTAGCGCTGGTCGATAAACCGATTTGTGATCCTATTTCTGTGCATTAATTGTGGGTGGCGGTCCGAATGCTAGCGGGTATTCACTTACCTTACTGGGGGGTTTGATACCTAACGAATCGATCGTTAAGTTTCCACTTTTCCTAATAGTTAATAGTCCTCGTTCAATTTTCCCAAAATTATTTTTTGTCTGTTGTCCAACGCCATTGAGAAGCATCCAATACATTCGGTGACTAAAAGGCATCAGCATTACGCCGGTACGCACTACCGACGCTTTGCTACCGCGTAACCACTACCAGTCGCGCTTGGACTAAGGATACTGCGTGGGTCGCTCTTTTCCTACACAGGCTCGATCCAGCGCCCTCAGATTACAAAGCAGGCTTGTGATCCTTAGGGCTATGGGACGGCTAACTGAGCTAGGAACTACAGTACGACGCTTGAGATGTAAATATCGGATGCTTTTCCACACACACAGTTCTTTCTGTTACTAGCTCTCGTTTCCTTGTTTTCGAGATCTGCTCACCACAAATGTCTAAGTAGGCTGTCACCGCAAGTAAGCAGCTCTGACTTCATAGCGAACTCTATTTACATTTTCTAAACGCTCGTTCTCCTTAGACATCGTATTGGCTAATCAACATAGTTTTTGTCCTCAACGGATGTACTAAACTATGCTTGACCTCCAGTTGTGCCGGGTGAGTTATCTTTGGCTAGTTATGGGATCGGAGGTAAGCTTTTGCTGCTGATGATGAAAAAATAACTCAACCTGTCAAGTTCTGTATGCTGCTTGGGTCGCACTGGTTAGTTAGATTAGCGGTAGCCACATTGGAATGCGACTACCGAACATATAGGCGGTGTGATTGGTATGCTCCAGCTTTCCACTCTTGCATCTTCTTCAACTTTGTTATCGAAATGATCAAGAGTGACTCCGTTCTTTCAGACTCTACTGGAGTGGAAGTTCTACCACGTGACCGACTGACAAACCCTGAGTATGCGGATGACATAGCTTTTCTTGGGTCCGACGCAGTGGCTATGCAAACACGGCTGGATAGACTGACGCGTCACGCCGCACGCTTCGGCATGTGTTTTGCACCTTTAAAGTGCAAAGTACTGCTTCAGGACTGGACCGACACACCTCCGGTTCTATCTATCACCGAACAACTACTGGAAGTGGTGGATCGGTTTACTTACCTTGGTGGCTGTGTCACCTCTGGCGGTCACATCACTGTGGAGGTTACTTCGCGTATCAACAAGGCCCGTGTGGTGGCTCTCCAGAGACTCGACCATCTATGTGAACGGCGGGATACCATCCTGTCAGTGAAACCTAGTGTGTATAACGCTGCGGGGTAGGGCATGTGTTACTGTATGGATCAGAGAACTGGCCAGTTCGCGACGAAGACATTAAACGTTTGGCCGTGTTTGACCACCGGTGCTTGCGAAGCATTGATGACGTCTGGTAGGACCACGAGGTGAGCAATGCTGAGGTCCGCCAGTTGGTTTTTGGCCAGAAACCTTTTGGTGCCTCACTACAGTATTTGCTGAATCTTACTTGCCTATGTTGGCCATGTCCTCCGTATGCCCATTGATCGGCTTCCTCGGCGTACATTATAGGTCGTGGCAGCATCAAATTGGCGAAATCGCGAAGTGGCTAGTCCATGACGTGGTATAAAGAGTTGAAGAAATTGGTTGGGAGACTTTTTCAGGCTGGTGTATGTCGTCGTCATAGATGGGAGCCTCAGGATGGTCCACACCAATGGTTGTAGACCGTATCGGACATGCCGGTGTCGCGCATTCAGTGGCTTTCCTGCATTCGATTTCTTGCATCTGGTTGTTAAGTCTCGCTCCATCTTGATAAGCCTAACGCATCACCTACTAAGTTACACTATTTTTGTATTCCATGCGTATTCAACTCCACTATCTTGCCGTCGTTATTTATTACTATTCTTGCGATGTGAGTCGGGGCAATTGGATCTACCGCACTTCGATGCTCAGATGATAGTTGATCAACTGAACTGAACTTCCCACTCTGATGTTTATTGGTTGTGTTTTGTAGAACAGTTGGCTAGAAATGGAAGGGGACACTTTAAGTATCTACAAATCAGGTTGTGCAATACGATTAGTTTGCAGTTTGGCTTAACAAGTTTATGGTTGGAATTAGGAACCGTTGGGGGAAACCACCATCTCAGAATAAGCAGCGAGTAGTATCCGCACACATAAACTTGCAACCGGTTTCTCCTTGTCTTTTTCTCTTTCTCCAGCGTTACTTATTGTTTCACAGGTTATTCAACAATATAGTCCTCATGACTTCGCAACCTATCTTCTTCAGATCAAGGGGCCAGGTGTCATTCCCCTAGATTAGGATAGCATTCACTGTGACCTTTTGCACTATCCCTTTCGGCCAGAGGGAAACCTCCCGATGACATAAATTACGCACGTTCAACAAAACACTTCTAGCTTTGATACTACGATAACTAACTTCAGTGGTCACGCATCCATCGCCGCTGATACAGCTATCAAGGCAATTCAGTTGCTCAACTACCTCGAGTTCCTCGCTATCAAAGGTCAAAGGATCATCGAGTGGGTGGTGCTCCTACAAGAACACTGGTTTGAAGATGCGGTGCGCTTGCGATGTGATAAGATCATACTGGAGTGATTGTTCGCGGTGGCTGGACCGCCCCATTATCGTTACATAGCAAACTATCATCGGCTTAATTAAGGTCGACAGTTTTTCAACCATGCAACACCTTAATGTCCGCATAGTGAGAACGCCTCTTCTTTCTAAGCCTGTTCGAACAAGTAGGCGTGTGTTTTGCAGGAGACCCCATAACCTTCCCTAAATATTACGGGTTCAAGAGACTCCGGATCAGCAGCGCGACTGTGATCGCGTTTCGGATCACAGCCTCTGTTGAGGCCTTGAGACTAACCGAGCATTGCCCAGCCTGCATCACCTGAAGAGTAAGATTGAGGAGTAGTGGAAGCTACTGAACTACTCCTTATTGTGAATTAGAGAACGGCACTGCCTCCGATTGTCGCACTGACGCATGGGTTCCTGAAACCAGTGGTGCAGGTCAGTTGGAAGAGTTTGCGATAATTGCTTACTGCTTCCGCATCAAATCAAGCATTACACAACTATTTACGCTAACACTGCGAACATGCTACAACATAGAATTGGTGAAAAAATAATGTGAAATGTCTCGAACAACAAAAAGAGTTCGTTTTCAAATAAGCAAACGTTCACGCAATTGTTGCATCATCACTATCGAGTCGACCAACAAGCGAGATAAAAGAAGGCACTATGGAGTTGTGATACAATGAGGTACGGGAAAATAAAGCTTTACATTTTGATCACGTGGAAGAAATGGATGTCATATTTGCTAAAACATTGTGTAGGGGGTGAGAGGAGTCGTTTAGAATCTTGGATGAAAGTTAAAGCATACCTCAAAAATGCTTGCTAACCACAAAATCAGCTAGGGATTCTTTACTCGATCCAGAGCATCGGGAAATAAATGTTAGTGATCGCACAAGAAAAGTATAATTTTTTTGAAGGAGTCCGGGGAAATAAAGGAGAAACAATGCAACCAAAGGGGAGGATCTATGCATACACTAATGTTAAAATTAGCGCACGCTGTACGGAGAGCATTCTGAGCCTAAGGGAGTAAAATGATAGTCTTCTGATTTTTTGAAAAGCTCCAAACATTTGTGTCGACCAGGATTAATTGTGGGACAAAAATCACCGTGATACTTTACGGAATATGAACGAGGGATGCTTTAGTCAATCACGAACAAATGAGAAGCGTCTAAAAGAGAACGCATTTTGTCGAGGCGGAGTAAAGGGAATGTGATATCACAACACTTAGAAGAGTTGAAGTAGCGGGGGCTTAGCCAATTCAAATTTATCCACTCCTCGTTGAAGTATCGAAGCTTCTTAAATTATTAAGGTTGTACACCCTAGGACTACGTCGTCAGCGTATTTTCACTGGATGAAACTGATTGGTATGGGCAGACACTCAACATAAAGGGAAAACAGAAAGGGGGATAGAATAGATCCTTGGAAGACGCCACTCTTGGCTGGGATTGCGGAAGCTCTTCTGCCACATAACTGCGTGAAGCGTGTGCGATTCGTAAAATAGTCCCTCATGCGTATGGAGGTGCACCGTTTTCGGACAAAAGAGTTAGCAGTAACGATCTGTCAAGGCTTCCAAAGCAGTTAGTATAATCAATGAACAGGAGCCGCATTCCTTGAACCCTACCGGTTTACCAAGCTTCCTTGTCAACATGCGGACTCTGCGTTAGTTTGCGCGTAATAGTCCATCTGGTTGCCATTGTGCTCAGAGCCAGCAGGATAGCTTTCTTCAGGATTCCCACGGGTTCATCGACCTGTTGAATATCCAGCGACTGGTGCGACGACTACCAGTAGTACCGTAAG